TGTGTGTGTGTGTGTGTGTGTGTGTGTGTGTGTGTGTGTGTGTGTATGTGTGTGTGTGTGTGTGTGTGCGTGTGTGTTTTCCTCGTCACCATTTATGTGTGTGTGTGTGTTTTCCCTGTCCACCATGTGTGTGTGTGTGTGTGTGTGTGTGTGTGTGTGTGTGTGTGTGCGTGCGTGCGTGCATGTGTGTGTGCGTGCATGCGTGTGTTAATAATGTGATTGTTGTCGAGTCTTGTGCACCATGAGTGGATAGCTCATTGTTGGGAGTGTATGGTAGTACTTTGGCGGAGGTTGCAATGCGAACCGGTAAAGCCACATGACCCGCGTGTTTCCTCGAGAGGGATCTTTTGACGATTGTGTTCACAATGTGGGTTCGGTATGCTATGGAGTTGTTATTCGGATGAGAGAGAATGGTGTCATAAATTTAATGGTTGGTACATATCTGCAGCAAACAAAAGGGCCAATACTCGAAATTTGGGCAGATGGTACGAGTATACAGCAAGTACAACGTAGGGGGAAGAGCAAAACAATGGGCGAAGGAACCTTGTGCGAACGGTTTTGTCAGGTTCGGTTGGTGGGTGCAGCTGGGTTGGGCTAAACGGTGTGTTGTGCATCTCTCTTGTGTGTGTGTAGGAGGGGGGAGGAGGGAGGGGGGCGGTAGAAGTGAGCTTCTGTGTCTTGACTATTTGATGATGGCTCTTCGCTGTGGCACAGGCATTGAGGGAGGAGCTGGATGCAGAGCTGCCGCCACCAGGAGAATATGCTGTGGGGATGCTATTTTTGCCTGTGAATGAGGAGAGGCGAAAGATTGGCAAGGACATATTTACCAAGGTAAGAATCGAAGGGATTGCAATCATTGCAGAGATTGAAGTAAGCATTTGCGATTCAATTTTTTTTGTTGGTTTTGTTCTGATCTTCCTTTGTGGTTGGTTTTGGGTAAAGAGCGAAGGGTGGTATTCTTCTCTTCTGTGTGAATCTTATCTGATCTGATCTCTGTTTCTCTGACTTTTGTTTACTATGTTGTTGGCAGAGATGTGAAGCGCTTGGCCATAACATTTTGGTCTGGCGGCCGGTGAAGACCAACAATGCGGGACTGGGAAAGGGAGCCTTGGAGACGGAGCCCGTAATTGAGCAGGTGTTCATTTCTCCAAGCGTAAAGTCTGTTGTTGACTTTGAGAAGCAATTGTTCATCCTCAGGAGGATGGTTGAGGGCGAGCTCCGTGATGCACTGGGGTTAGAGCATGGTCAACCCCGGGACTTCTATATCTGCTCTCTCTCATCGAAGTGAGTTCATTTGTTCTCTCTCCCTTTTTCCCTTAGTATGTGATCACTTGGCTTTTAGGTGTCCTTGAAGTTCTGCTCCTCTGTTGGTCTTCATATGAGAATACACGTCTTTTTTCTTTCTGCTCTCTTCGTTCCACTTGGCTCAGAAATACTGCCACTAGAGCACACATAGTTGGGTACGAGGTTCGTTGTCTGGGGAATTGTGTGACACTGTGTCAATGCGTGTGTAGCTGTGCTACTTGTGTTGGAGGATATATCCTTTTTTGTTTTCTTTGGTTTCCTCTTTTCTTTTTCTGAAGGGCGATGGCCTTGAGGTATCATTATTGAGCTGACCGGCCCAGGTAATTCAGAATTGTTGTTTGATTCTTTCTATCTGATTGCATCTGGATTCGAATTTGGGTCTGATTCATATTCATCAGTGCATTGGGTGAAACAACTGCGCTCGGCCCGTTGGTGGAAGGATATATCTGATTGTGTTCATCCTGCTTGACTTCCAGTAGAGCACACGCACAATTGGAAGTCCTTTGTCAAGGGGAAAAAAGAAGTGAGTTTTGTCGTTTGGAGACAAGGGTCTGGTGTGTTATCTTTGAGTAACGGCGGGTGTGGATGTGAGTGGTGGTGCGGGAGAGGAGCTGCTTCTTTGTGGACTGTCTGAAAGTGGAAATCGTTTAACTTCCTTTGGCCGGCGACAGAGTGTTCTCTGTGGGTCTACATCTGTGTTCGTAATGCTGCTACCTGGCGCTCCGATAAAATGCTTCGATTCACTGAGTTTTGCAGCAGTTGTCTTGTGGCGTCAGTTGTGCATTCTGCATTGTTGAGCTTATTGTGGACGAGGCTACGTACTGGTCGTTTAGACACTCTTTAGAAACCAATCTCACGGCTGTCAGTCTGTTGCTCTCTCTCTCTCTCTCTCTCACACTCACACACACACACTTCCCTTTACTCTGACTCCTTTCATAACGTGCAACGTGCGCGTGGGGATGTGGGCAGCTGGCGCTAAACCGCAATCAACGTGGCCAGCCTTGTGCGTGAGAGGCACAGTAAATGGGGAGCTGCAAGTAAATATAGTTAAGAAAGGTATATAATTGATCTGTTGTGCCCCATGTTGCTTGCTATGGAAAGGGATAATGGATCTATTGTGCCCCATGTTGCTTGCTATAGAAAGGGATAATGGATCTATTGTGCCCCATGTTGCCTGCTATAGAGGTAAAAATGTTTCATTGCGCTTCTCACGTGTGCTTCATTGTCTGCTATAGAGGGAAAGCTGCTTTGATTTTGGATGTACGCATAAGGGTGGAACAGGGGCTGTTGTGTGACAATCTAAAACACACGCTCAGCAATCAATCTTACTGCTGTCTTTGTTTGTTGCATGTTTGCTCTCTCTCTCTCTCTCTCTCTCTCTCTCTCTCTCGGCCCCCCCCACCCCCACCCCCATCGCTTTGGCTGCTGCTCCTACAGGACTGTTGTCTACAAGGGGCAACTTAAACCTGATCAACTCCCAGGTTACTTCACGGACCTGAAGGATGACAAATTTGCTGCATACACGGCGCTGGTGAGTGCATGCGTTTAAAGGATCGAGGTGCTCGAACTTGTGTAGTGCCACTTACAAAAAAAACAACAAGTGCAGTGCCACTTATATTTGAGAACACAGTATTTTTGGTGTTTATTTCGTTTGCTGCCTATTACCAATTTTTGGCTTGCCCTGCATTGATTCCTCCACAGTCACTGTGCCTAAAATAGTTTTCGGAAGTACAGGTGTGTCAAACCTTTCTGTGAGCAGTGCGGGGCTCGGGGGTGTGACAAAACTCAACGGGGCCACTCACGCTCTCGATCATTACAAAGTTATATTTCGGTATTTCCGGTCCACATACAGTGGAAATGGCCGTACATTCTATTCAGGGTAAGATGCAACGAAGTTGAATGATCCAGAATCAGGGGTGCCATGGGTGTTCACCTGTTGAGGGCCGACCGTCTTTGAGAGTTTGAAGCCCCGCCGCGTTCGGTGCGGGATTGCCCGTCGTTTCTTGTGCCGCAGAAAATACCCTTCCTGCGGGTGTGTGACTGGATCTGTGAATTGGTCCGGAGTTCCAAATTCTACAACTCGAGGGCCCATGAAACGTTCAGAAAACAGTGAATGGCTAGTTTCGCAAAGACTTGTGCCATGCCTTTTTTTTTTTTTTTTTTTTTTTATAATATGTTATTCAGATCTTTCCGGTCCTGACTCCATTTTTTTGTGAATTTTATGCTTAAAAGTGTCATTGCTACTGTCATCATCCGAATAGAACACCCGGGAATTATAGCTGTATTTGGTGCTATTTTCAGTCTAGATACAGTGATGATGACCGGGCGTTCTATTCGGGTGGTAGCAGTGATGAAGTTACAACTGGTGAATGTGAATTTCCTAAGAGCGGTGACTCGTTATGGATGGCTGACCAATTGCGAGGCATTTTCTGGTCTTCTTGGGCTTGAGAAGGGGATATTTAGACTTAGTTTTGCATTTTTTGTTTGGTTCCCCTCTTTTGATTGGAGGGCAGTAACGCAGCAACGAGTCAATGATTGCCATTCCGTCATCCGTACATCTTTTATCCGCAATCTGGATGATCACCTGATTGCGGAGAAATTGTGCTTCCTGAAATTGTTGCGGCGGATCTTTGACGGATAGCATTTGACTGATGGGTTCTGCATGGTGCTGCCTGTGACAGGTGCATTCTCGCTTCTCTACAAACACCTTTCCCAGCTGGGAAAGGGCGCAGCCAATGCGAGTACTTGGGCACAATGGCGAAATCAACACCCTGCGTGGTAACATCAACTGGTACGTATTAAGCCAAGTTGAATGAAGAAAGAGAAAGAAACCTTTATGGGGATGATGACCTATCAGAACTATCTTAACTGCTGACAATGCCTGACATGCTTGTATATTTCCTTTGCAAACTCACTTTGCATGACGGAAAATAGATCGTCATCATATCAATGCGCATGGGATGTAATTTGCAATATGAGGCAGTGGACGTTCTTCTGAGGCTTGGTATTATCAGCCTCTGCTCAGCACGTTAAAACTTTTTGGAGGCTGTTGTTACGGTTGGTCAATATCTGTGGTGACAACCTTTTTACATTTGTGTGTGTGTGTGTGTGTGTGTGTGTGTGTTGTCATGTTTGCTATTTACAACTCCACAAAAAAAGGCATGATTGTGCCACACTCTGTGTCTGTGCGTGTGTGTGCGTGTTGTGTGTGTGTGTGTGTGTGTGTGTGTGTGTGTGTGTGTGTGTGTGTGTGTGTCTTGTTGAAGTCGAGGAGGAGCATTTGTGACTGAATAAGAGGCATCTTTTGTGTACCAGGATGAGAGCACGTGAAGGTTTGCTGAAGTGCGAAGCTCTGGGCCTGTCTCGGGAGGAGCTGAAGAAGCTGATGCCAATTGTGGATGAGGATTCGTCAGATTCAGGCGCATTCGACGGAGTGTTGGAGTTCTTGATCAGGACTGGAAGAAATCCCCCGGAGTCGGTGATGATGATGATTCCAGAGGCGTGGCAAAATGATAGGCTCATGGATGTGAACAAGAAAAACCTATACCAATACCATTCTGCTTTGATGGAGCCTTGGGATGGGCCTGCTTTGATTGCATGTAAGTTCTTGCCCGCTCTTCTCCGGTCTTCAACTCTTGATTTTCGACTGATTTTTTTCGGTCTCTCTAACTCTGACCTTCGGTTATATTTCTGAACTGGCCCTTGCTTGTGATTTGCATTTCACTCGCCTGTGACTTTCTCTTCGTGTGTGTCCAGCACCAACGTTATCTGAAGCCTTTTTCTTTGCATACATAATGACATTGTGCCCTGGGAGAGACATTGTTTCATTGTTTCAGGTCAATTTGAAAGCGATTGCCTTACATTTCCTTCCTTCCTTTCGTTCTTTGGAAAGAGGAACATTGATAGTTTTTGGCATTTGTACTGATTTGTAGTATATATATGTGCACAGGGTCTCACAGTCTCTCACTGCGTCATTTCTTTATGGATCAATAGTTATGACGTTTTGACATGTGGATTATAGTGAGTTATGGGTGGTGCATGTTACCTTCAGGTGAGCAGGCAGCTACAGTATCTGATACTTGTGGGCTGTGTTGGTTGATGTGCTCGTGCTTGTGAATCTCCTGCAGTCACGGATGGAAGATACATTGGTGCAACTCTGGACCGGAATGGGCTGAGGCCAGGTCGGTATTACATCACCCACAGTGGACGTGTGATCATGGGCAGCGAAGTGGGAGTGGTGGATGTGGATCCCAAGGACGTGAAGAAGAAGGGCAGATTGAATCCTGGGATGATGCTTTTGGTTGATTTTGACAAGCACATTGTTGTGGAGGATGCCGAGATGAAGAAGCAGTACTCGGCAGCGCGGCCGTACGGTGAGTGGCTGGCAAAGCAAATGCTGACACTGGAGGATATCACGGAGAGCGTCCCCAAGGAGAAGTTGCTCCCACCTACGATCAATGGTGTGGTCGCGGATGCTGACCTGGGTTCAGATATCAAGGAGAACCGTGGACTGACCAAGCTTCTTGCACCTCTGAAGGTCTTTGGGTACACGGTCGAGGCGTTGGAGATGCTGTTGCTCCCCATGGCACGGGACGCCTCTGAAGCCCTTGGGTCTATGGGGAATGACACCCCGCTGGCGTGCATATCAGACAGACCGAAATTGCTCTTCGAGTACTTCAAGCAGATGTTCGCGCAGGTCACAAACCCGCCAATCGACCCCATTCGTGAGGCTGTTGTGACTTCCACGGAATGTATGATCGGCCCGGAAGGTGACCAGACAGAGACGACAGAGCAGCAGTGTCATCGTCTGTCTCTAAAAGGTCCGCTCCTCACGCTCGAGGAGATGGAGGCGTTGAAGAAGATGGATTATCGTGGGTGGAGGACGAAGGTCGTCGACATCACCTTTGCCAGGGAGGAAGGACCTGCAGGATTGGAGCATACTCTGGAGAGGATTTTGAAGGAGTCCACACAAGCCATAGCTGATGGGTTCAAGATTCTGGTTCTCTCCGACCGTGCCACGTCGTGGGGAAGGGTCCCTGTGTCGTCTCTCCTTGCTGTGGGAGCCGTCCATCACCATTTGGTGAAGACCCTCTCTCGTACCCGGTTGGCTGTGGTCGTAGAGTCAGGAGAGCCTCGTGAAGTCCACCACTTCTGTACTCTCGTTGGATTTGGGGCGGATGCCATCTGTCCTTACGTGGCGATCAATGCCATTTGGAGCCTCAACGAGGACGGAAAGATTCCTCCGAAGGCTGATGGCTCATGCCGGACAAAGGAAGAGCTTGTGGCAGCTTACTTCAAGGCATCGAATGCAGGAATCCTCAAAGTCCTCGCTAAGATGGGCATCTCCACCCTGGCTTCCTACAAAGGGGCACAGATCTTTGAGGCACTTGGTCTATCATCTGAGGTGGTAGATAGGTGCTTCAGGAGGACACCGAGTCGTGTACAGGTGCGTGAACAAGTCATAAGACTGGCTTGTTACAAAACCCTCTAGAATGTGTGCTCTGTATACATCCATCATGATTGAGTGCACCGTCATCTCCGGACGATGCGGTTTTTCACTTAATTGTGTTTCGTGTGTGAGTTCTCTACACTCTGCTTTTATTGGCTGTTGAATGTTGTCCGCACCCTTTGGAGAAAGAAGCAAGGCATCAGGTTCTGCTCGTGGTGTCTTGTTACTGGAGTGATTTGGAGTGAACGAGTGATCGAGGGTAGCAATTGCTAGTCGCAATTGTCCAGTGTCTTCTATTGAAACGAGACACACTTAGTCACAGACATAAGGAACAGAGGTGCGAATTATCACTGCGCTGGATGAACAAGGCCGGCAAGGACTAAGAAGGGGGAGATTGAAAGAGCTTGATCTCTCTCTGCCCACCCTGGTCGTTGCTCGCTCTCTTGGGCTCTTTTAATGTTTATGGTTGACGTGTTCTGGTTTGATGGGTGTAAGCTTTTGCGCGAGTGAGAGGCAGCTTCCGTGAGTACTGTGTACGTACATGTGTGACAGTGTGCATTTGCTGAAACTGTCCAGTGCCTGAATTTGTGAAGTGTGTGACTTGTATGTGCGCAGTGTTAACTGTTACAGCCTTCCAATAGTAATGAACACAAGAACCTGAGGAGGGTTCTGCTGACAAACAGGGCGTTTGGTTCAACTGTGTGTGTTTGTGTGTTTGTGTGTGGGTGTTTGTGTGTGTGTGTTTGTGTGTGCGTGCATGTGTGTGTGTGTGTGTTTGTGTGTGTGAGTGTTTGTGTGTTGTTCTTTTCAGGGATGTACTTTCAAGACTCTGGCTGCTGATGCTATGCGCTTGCATGAGCAAGCTTTTCCTGTTGTGGAGCCACCCAAGGGCAGTGCAGAGGCGAAGGCATTGCCAAATCCTGGCGACTACCACTATCGCTCTACACCAGACTCTGAGGCGCATCTGAACGACCCGACAGCCATTGCCAAGCTGAGGGAGGCAGCCACGTTGAACAGCAAGATTGCTTATGAGGATTTTTCGAGGATTACGAACGAGTTGAATAAGAAGTGCACTCTCCGTGGAATGCTGAAATTCAAGGGAGTCGGGTCATCTATTCCTTTGGAGGAGGTTGAGCCTGTGCAGAACATTGTGAAGAGATTTTGTACGGGTGCTATGAGTTATGGGTCCATCTCACTTGAGGCACATACGACACTCGCCATGGCTATGAACCGCCTTGGAGGAAGGTCTAACACAGGTACTGGAATCTATCTAAGCCGCTTTCTGTAACTGAAGCTATTACTCGTCGTTGCTGCTTTCTAGCAGGGTCGTAAAGAAAATGCATGAAATGAGTTGGACATGGCGACCGTATCTAGCCTGAAAACATCATAATTTAGTTTGGATTCTTTGAAATTTCCTCCCGCCATTCAAACATCTCCGAATAGTGGAGGTCCACTCGAGGAATATCACAAATTCTGATGTCTTTTCTCTCCTTCTGTTTGCTTCTTCCCTACCTCTTTGCTCCCAGAGTTGTGGCGATGGCACCCACTGCCACCCAGCGACAGCACCTCTTTCATGAGCCGTGCTGCTCCCTGCAAAGCTGCATTCGAGAAAGCAATGGTATAACGAATCTGCACTGAAGCAGATCAATGGTGGAGCACACAGGCCGACTTGCACGCAGGAACACAATTACAGCATCTGACCTCTGGAAGAAAAATGATGCAGCTGCTCTACTTGATCCTGGAGTGATCCTTGTATAGTTCAGGTAGTTGGTCAGAAGCAGCATAAGCGTGTAATCCTACATGTGTACTTTGAACAAAGGAGAAAGGTTGCATAATGGAAGAAACGAGAGCAGAGCCTGAGAATTTTCCTCGTCTTTATTTCGGATAATTTGAGGGAGGAGGGAGGTGGAGGTGGGGAGAGGGGGGCGGGGGGGGGTAGGGACAAATGGATGTCCATGGGTTCAGGTTCTGTCAGTCTGCTGACCTTCTTCTGTGCCAAATGATATGTAACAGGTGAAGGCGGCGAGAACCCGGCTAGACTGGTGCCCCAGCCAGATGGATCCCATAATCCACAGAGGAGTTCTATCAAGCAGGTGGCCAGTGGTCGCTTTGGCGTGACAGCATATTACCTAACAAATGCGGATGAACTGCAAATCAAGATGGCACAAGTGAGTGGATCCTTGTCTACCGTTGAGTCTTTTAACTTTCACTTCGTTCGCAATCTAAAATTTCACGATGCAAATTGTGCCTGTTTTGCTGAAATTGTGGAAGCTGCGGAGCACTTCAGTGCATGAAAAGGTCTACTCTTTGCATTCAAACTTCGAAGTTTAAATTGTTGTGTTAGCGCGTGTGATGAACCTTGGGGTGTTGTTCAATTGTATCGTTATTACTGCAAGATTTACCTTCTGCATACACGTCGAGGGACTTGAGGTGTAGCTATTGGACATTGCTGTCTATGATTGACATTGTGATCTCTAGCATCGTTCTACCAATGGCTGTCTATCTTCCTTTTGTCTTCATTACTCTACTGTCGCTTCTCACTCTGTTGTTCCCTCTCTGTGCTGTGCTGTGTGGGTTGTATCTTCAATAGGGTGCCAAACCGGGTGAGGGAGGTGAATTGCCCGGCCACAAGGTCGTTGGGGACATTGCTGTGACTCGGCACTCTACTCCCGGTGTGGGTCTAATCAGTCCACCCCCGCATCACGATATTTACTCGATCGAAGATCTTGCTCAGCTCATCTATGACCTGAAGGTAAGATTCCTTTTTCTCAAAACTGCATAATCCAAGCTAAGCACATGTGAGAGCAGAGTTCAACAAACCTGGCTGCTTTATTGCGTTGCAGCTTTGTGTGCCTCTGGCCCGAATGCTTGTATGTGCAAGTGAAATCCAAGTGGGCGTAAGATGTAGTAGACTCTAATCATTGTTGGATTCCCTCGTTCTATTGTTTATATGCGTGCATTCAATGTGGATGTGTTAAGACGTCATATTCAGCATTTTCTACCGTATGCAATGAACCACTGATATTGACACTCCAAGCATATGAACCATGAGAGTTCACACAATTCACACTGAAGTACAGAGATGGAGAGTCCAGATTAGCGCAGCTCATAAACTTCAATGAATGATCATATTGTACAGAGCCAGAGTTCGAGTGATCATATTATACAGAGCTACCCAGCAGCCTCAATCAAATATGTAACTCTCTCTCTCTCTTGGCTGATGTTGCACAATCTCGCTGCCTCACTCTCCCCCCCCCCCCCCCCCCCCCCCCCCCCCCCTCTCTCTCTCTCTCTCTCTCTCTCTCTCTCTCTCTCTCTCTCTCTCTCTCTCTCTCTCTCTCTCTCTCTCTGTGTGCTACTATGAGGATCACAATCCTGGATACATCCGCCTGCTACTGATGCTCAACTACAAGCGTTGGAACTGCACGTACTTGAAAAATGTGCTTCCAATTGGGGCTATGGCCGTCTGTCATCCACAGCACAGAGCTGCCCAACAGGGCTACCTAGCGCTCTGTCCACTTGCAATCGAGCACAAGCAACAACAGCGCTTCCACCTTCTCGGTGTGCTGCTGCATTTTGACTGTGGGACTGGACTGCAAGGCCGGGTACCGGTTGAATTTTGGCCTGCTTGGCCAGGGAGTACCCGACTGGACACGTTTTCAGTTTCGTCCTGCGCGGTTTCTTGACGTTGGGAACCTTGATCCTGGGACTCGAATTTGGGGGCTGCAACGTGAAAATGCCTTTCACATACAAGTGCAGGTGGAGAGAACAAAGGGAGGAACTATGCCTGTTGTCACAATGAGGTTATTTCATAAGCTTGGGACGCTGACCTTCCCGTGTGATGTCTTGTGTGTGCTGTGGGTATACCATGCTCTTGTATAATACGTTGCGAGTACAGAATTCGAATCCAGGCGCTCGTGTGAGTGTGAAGCTGGTTTCCGTGGCTGGAGTGGGAGTGATTGCAGCTGGCGTGGTGAAAGGACATGCAGATCACGTCCTCATTTCTGGCCATGACGGTGGTACCGGTGCTTCTCGCTGGACTAGCATCAAGAATGCAGGCAAGTTCTATGACTTGAAGCGGCCAAGTTGTTTAGTCTTATGTGGTTTCTATGATGGATGCCTGGGAGCTGTTATGAAGGTGTTGAAGTCTCTGACATCTTTCACTCGTGTCTCTGTTTTATGATGGTTAAACTTCTGTGAATTCAGGTCTGCCATGGGAGCTGGGTCTTTCAGAGACACACCAGGTACTCGTGGCAAACGATCTCCGTGGCCGTATGATTTTGCAGACCGATGGGCAGATAAAGACGGGGCGTGATGTTGTTATCGCTGCCCTTCTTGGAGCAGAGGAGTTTGGTTTCAGCACTGCACCTCTTATGGCAATGGGGTGTGTCATGATGAGGAAGTGCCACAAAAACACTTGCCCAGTTGGAATTGCAACGCAGGACCCGGTTCTTCGGGCCAAATTTAAGGGCGAGCCGGAGCATGTTATCAATTATTTCTTCATGGTGGCAGAGGAAGCACGGAAGTACATGGCATCCATGGGATTCAGGAAGATGGATGAAATGATTGGCAGGGCAGATATGCTGGAGGTAAGCACGGAGGGAGAGAGGGAGTCTGTGTGTGTGTGTGTGTGTGTGAGAGAGAGAGAGAGAGAGAGAGAGAGGGCATGTCTGTATGGTATCCTGACTGACGTACTTGGTACAAGTTGGATTGGACTGCATATTCTTGTGCTCTGCTCTGTGGATTGTAGTGATGCACAGGAGTGGTATGTTATGTATCTATTAATAAGTTAATCAAATGACCAATCGGCTGACACGCGTATGTGGCATATTTTGGTGGGGTCTGGAGCAGGTTGATAACGAGGTTATCAAGAACAACCCAAAGCTGGAGAACATTGATCTCTCTGCTGTTCTGAAGCCTGCTGCAGAGTTGCGACCAGGTGCTGCCCAGTTTTGCGTGCAAAAGCAGGTAAGAGACGCAATCTTCTTTTACAAGGTGGAGGGACGGGGGGGGGATGAGGGGTGAGGGGGGTTGCATCCAATCCGCATATTCTTTTCCATATTTGTTCTGCTCGTGGTACAAAACATCGTAACACTGCTGCTTTTAGAACTGTGACAAAGAGCTTCAAAATGTTTGGGAGGATTATTTGCATATTCGTTTGACAAGTACTTATGTCTGAGATGCTGACGTTATGATCATGCATATCGTTATCCTGTTCAGGATCATGGGCTGCACATGGCTTTGGACGTCAAGTTGATCGAGCTCTGCAGACCTGCACTGGAGAAGTGTGAGCCTGTTCGTCTTAACCTGGAGATCTGCAATGTCAACCGTGCTGTTGGCACCATGCTCAGCCACGAGGTATGTGTTGTGCATCGCTTCCTGTACAGTGCCTCTCTAAGTTATGGTTCTGCTTGATTGCTGTGTGCTCCCAGAGGCTGAATTGATTGCTGTACTCTAAGATGCTGATTGGTGGTGGTGGTGATTCAAGACACGTCAGTTTGATTGAAGTCATTCGATGAAATTGTGGGCCGATGAGGACTGACTAGAGTTAGTTCTGTGCGTACAGAAAACCTGCGGTTTTTCATTTGAAGGAATTGATAGGTGAGCGTTTTATGGGGATTACTGGATGACAAGGCAAGGTGACATAGAGTTTTTCTTTTAATGCGTGCATACTTATTTGTGGATGACACGGTTTGTGTTGTGGAACTGTGTTTTGATTCTTTTGAACTTTGAAAAAGACTGGTGTTTCATTTTCCGACCAATTGATAGATGAGCCCATCATGGGGATTGTTTGATGACAAGGTGTATAGAGTATATAGACTCGTGATAATTCATTGGATCGTTGATCACTGGATGACAAGGTTTGTCTTTCTGTTTGTCTTTATTGTAGGTGACGAAGAAGTACCGTCTGGCTGGACTTCCTGAGGACTGCATTCATATCAAGTTCGAAGGACATGCGGGACAAAGTTTTGGTGCATTTATCTGCCCTGGAGTTACGTTGGAATTGGAGGGTGACAGCAACGACTATGTTGGAAAGGGTCTCTCTGGAGGTGAGCGTCCTGCCACTGAGGGAACATTACTGTCGTAGTTTGTGGGGTCTCGATGTTTCTCCCATAGTTAACCCTGATTAGTGGTGGACATGAATGTCAGTTTGCCGGGGTTGTTGGGAGTGTGGCAGGTGTGAACACGTTCTCAGCAATAACAAAAGCTTGCAACCGTCATGAAAAGTATCGTGTCTAAATCTTGTGGACTGCGGGCAAGTGATGCGGTGGTCGCAAGGGATTGCTTGAGTGGCTACGCTGACAAATGTGTTCTTTTTGTGCTCTATGTGGTTTACAGGGAAGGTTATTGTCTACCCTCCCAAGGACAGTGGTTTTGTTCCCAAGGAGAACATTGTCATCGGAAACGTTGCCTTGTATGGTGCTACTTCTGGAGAAGCTTATTTCTGTGGCATGGCAGCTGAGGTTTGTGTCCTGAAGTGCTCATCAATTCCGACTCTCTCTCTCTCTCTCTCTCTCTCTCTCTCTCTCTCTCTCTCTCTCTCTCTCTCTCTCTCTCTCTCTCCCCCCCCCCTTACCTGTAGTGCATGCATGAACATGCTGATTCACATCTCTTATGCATCGCTTCCTTTCACTTTCACGTTACAAGTATGTGCAGCAGCAATCGTGTGGATGGTAACTGAGCTGTTATTACGACCTTGACTGATCACTTTGACAGCCAACTGCACAGTGACAGAGGCCTGTCTTCAGCACGGCTTTTGCCAGATGCTTTCGCTTGAAAGTAGAACTGTTCAGATGGATTGATTTGAAATATTGACGTTTGCCTCAGCTCCCTTCACGTTGAGACTTCTAATTATGTGACACCGATCTTTGGGGATGTCTTCTGTTGGCTTGCAGCGTTTCTGTGTCCGTAATTCTGGTGCAAAGGCAGTTGTGGAGGGCGTGGGCGACCACGGTTGTGAGTACATGACTGGAGGTATTGTAGTTGTACTTGGAGTTACCGGTAGAAACTTCGCTGCCGGAATGAGTGGGGGTGTTGCTTACGTCCTGGACACAAAGGGTGAATTCCAGAATAAGTGCAACACAGGCCTCGTTGATTTGGACAAGGTGAGAGAAATGGAATGGATGCAAGTGACGCATTCTATGGTGCACTCCCTCACTCAGATGCCCTCTCCTGCTTTAATTTTTCACACCGAGAATTCTGTGTGTGTGTGTGTGTGTGTGTGTGTGTGTGTGTGTGTGTGTGTGTGTGTGTGTGTGTGTGTGTGTGTGTGTGTGTGTGNGTGTGTGTGTGTGTGTGTGTGTGTGTGTGTGTGTGTGTGTGTGTGCGTCCCTCACTCAGATGCCCTCTCCTGCTTTAATTTTTCACACCGAGACTTCTGTGTGTGCGTGTGTGTGTGTGTGTGTGCGTGTGCGTGTGCGTGTGCGTGGGTACGTGTGTGTGCACGAGTGCGTGCAATCCTGCAGTCAGCTCTTACCTGTAAGAAAATGAAAATGTAATGGATGCAAGTGACACATTCTATGGTGCATTTCCTCACTCAGATGCCCTCTCCTGCTTCAAATTTTCACATCGAGAATTGTGTGTGTGTGTGTGTGTGTGTGTGTGTGTGTGTGTGGGTGTGTGTGTGTGGGTGAGTGTGCGTATGTGCGTGTACGTGTGTGCGTGAGTGCGTGCAGTCAGCTCTTACCTGTAAGAAAATGCATCCCCGACGACAGGGAGATACACTGATCATTGCACCCTGTTAACTGCATATCGATTGTTTCAGATGACTGAGGAGGAAGACATTTCTATTCTCAAGACGATGATTCAGAAGCACTACAAGCACACGCACAGTGCGGTGGCTAAGCACGTGCTTATGAACTTCGATGATCTGCTGCCCTTCTTTCTCAAGGTATGCATCTTTTCTGAAAATTGACCCTAGCTCACTAGGCTGAGAGCCCTGTCCCATGTTTTTTCAGCGAACTTGTGCTTATCTTAGGATCACAATCAGTGGAATTGTTTCTGTAGGTCGATGGGCTTGAGGAGGGTACTAAGTCGAAGTGAGTCTACTATTGGACTGCAGCTGGTTGCATGGGGTGCTTGTGATATCTTCCTCGCTCGTATAAGATTGAGTGATCATTTTGGCTTGGCGGTTTTTATCCTCTTTAACAGGTATTCCCACGCGATTACAAGCGTGTGCTCCTTGAGACGAGGGCAAAGAAGGCACAACAGGCAGCAGCATCGTTGGACTCTTTGAAGGCTATTGCTGCCAATGGCGCAGTTTTGGAGGTATGTACTGCAGCAGTGTTTGCCTTTGTTGTCACTAGCATGCCAGCTCTCTCTCTCTCTCTCTCTCTCTCTCTCTCTCTCTCTCTCTCTCTCTCTCTCTCTCTCTCTCTCTCTCTCTCTCTCTCTCTNCTCTCTCTCTCTCTCTCTCTCTCTCTCTTGTTGTCTGTTATCTTGTTTCCAGCCAGCAGAGTCCACTAAGGAGACGACACACACTGTTATCCACTGAGCACAGCGCAGCCTCATTTCCACTGCACCCTACCAGAAAGATGGCTTGTGTACAACCGTTTTCAGGGTTCGTTGTGTTCCGGGGATGACGGTAGTCCTGACAACTTTCTGGACGCCTGCCGTCCCTCTCGCTGCATCAGTGGGAGAGAAGAGTTGGAATTGTATCTGTTTTCCACTGTGATGCGAATTTTGCTTGAGCTTTTTCATCCAGTGAAAAGTGCGAGGCCAGGTCGTTACTGTCAGCTTCGTTCTGATCTTCATGCACTCAGGAGGCTGCTATCTGTCATGTTTTGACAAACTTGGAAATCGTTGTGATTTTTATTGTACGGTGCAGAAACCAAGAAGGCCAACACGGGTTGAGGGAGCAGTGAAGCATCGTGGTTTCGTTGTGTATGAGAGAGAAGGGATTCCGTACCGGAACACCGAAGAAAGGTTGAAGGATTGGAAGGAGGTGATGGTCCACGAGCCACCACCAGCACTTCTGAAAACACAAGCTGCACGGTGCATGGACTGTGGTACACCATTCTGTCATCAGGTAAGGACTACATGCTGGCATGATGCCGCATCAACAGCTAGCTATAATCTTGTCGGTTGGGAATGGACATTGGGCCAATGCCAGGACGGATAACATGTATCATGTATGTTGTAGCCTCCTGATGAGTCGGTGAAAATCCGATGAACCAGTTTGTAACAGCCCCTCGTTTGTTGTCCTCTTCTCCCTCCTCTCTGCCTACGGTTTACCAGGCAGCTCTGTTTGACTACATACAATGCATACGGAAGCTGGCAGCCGGAATGCCAGGTTAACAACTTACAGCCGACACATGATGAATGTAACAAGTCGATCGTTTGATCTTTCTTCAGGATGCTGTGGGTACACCACGCAACAGTGAGCTTCATCGTGCCGAAAATGGATCCGGGCTCCAGGAATGTCCGGCTGTTGGCCTATTTCTGCCCAACATACCTGTGGCCAGCAGTATTGTCATGTTTCTGAGATTGCAAATGGTTTGGAGACCAGGAGCAATGCGAATTGGATAAAAGTCTGCTACAGAATTGCATGTCTTTTGTCGGAGCTGCTCAGTCTAATGTTAGAAGGCACATACAGCATTGTACAGTTGCGCTGCCTTTGACATGATACACCTAGACGTATCCGATTGCAATCGCAGCATCTGCTTTTGGAGTCCTACGTTGAGCACGCCCTCATAGCATTTTCCATGTTGCATAAGGATATGAATGGGATTGCCATGTGGAATTTAGATCATGTTTTGTGTGGTACGTAGTTTATTTGTTCCCTGTCGATTGGTTGACATGTTGGAGCGCTCTGGTTGTAGATGCAGGATCAAATGTTCTGCCTCGTCTAATGATCTAGTCTTTCTCTCTCTGATGTGCTGTGTCGCTGTTCTCTTGATGCTGCTGAATTTCGCAGGGTAATAGCGGGTGCCCACTGGGCAACAAGATCCCTGAATTCAATGATCTTGTACATCAAAACAGGTGGCGTGAAGCTCTGGATCGTCTGTTGGAGACGAACAACTTCCCTGAGTTCACAGGCCGTGTGTGCCCAGCACCATGCGAGGGTGCTTGTACACTGGGTATCATTGAGAACCCTGTTGCTATAAAGACGATTGAGTGCACCATCATTGACAAGGCGTGGGAAGAAGGGTGGATGGTGCCCAGGCCTCCTGTTCGGCGCACAGGGTACGTGAGACAACCCCCAGCTGGAGGGCTTCCCTTTCACCGCGGACTTCATTTTCTGACGTCGGTTGTTTGAAAGTGCTATCTATTCCTTTCTTTGTCTGGTCCTACCACAACCTTTCACCGCCGTCTGATATGATGTCTGATGATATCGATAGGAGAAGCTCACCCAAACCCCCCAACTGTACCTGTTGTTTCTTCAACTCTTGAGTACCGCAGAAAGCTTGGTATTAGTATCCTGTTACCGATAACAGATCCGTTATGTTAAATGCTATGCGCTATTCGGAAGCTCCTACGAATTGAAGTCTGGAATCACAGTATTGATTGGTTGGTTGTGTGTGGTGCTTTGGTGGTTGCTTGCTATGGCAGGATGAAGGTGGCTGTGGTGGGTAGTGGGCCTGCTGGACTAGCATCTGCGGATCAGTTGAATAAGGCAGGCCACTTCGTGACTGTTTATGAGCGCGCTGATCGTATTGGAGGGCTGATAATGTATGGTGTGCCAAACATGAAGTGCGACAAGGAGGAGGTTGTAGAGCGTAGAGTCGACCTTATGAGGAAGGAGGGAGTCAGATTCCAAACGAATGTCGATGTTGGGGTGACAATTTCTGCCAAGGATCTCAGAGCGGAGAACGATGCTGTGATTCTTGCCTGCGGAGCGACAAAGCCGAGGGACCTGCCTGTTCCAGGCCGTGAACTGAAGGGTATTCACTTTGCGATGGAGTTCCTCACCGCGAACACCAAAAGCCTCCTCGACAGCAAGCTGATGGATGGCAAGTACATCTCAGCAAAGGGCAAGAAAGTGGTGGTCATTGGAGGTGGAGACACGGGCACGGACTGCATTGCCACGTCCGTAAGGCATGGCTGTACCGCCATGATCAATCTCGAACTACTTCCTCAGCCTCCAGCAGGGCGTGCATCAGACAACCCATGGCCACAGGTACCCAACTGTTTTCCGAGTGAATGATAAAATCTCCCAGCACTTTCTTTCTGTGCTCTCGTTCAGCCCACATACTTCCGTTCTGGGGGTGTTTGCGCAATATTTTGCCTGAGAATGATTGGATTCGCAGGCTTCCTTTGAAGGTGGCAATCTTTTAGACCTGTCCTGATAGTTTGATAAAGACGTGCAGGTTGTCCTTTTGTGTAATCGTCCTGTTTCTGTCCGGAAATGAGTGTGCACGTGCAGGCCTTAAGCCACCACTACCTTTTGCAGCCGGAGTCCCATCTGGGAAAACGACCTCATCCCAAAACGTAGCTGCCGTGGGGCTGCTGATACTTCTCATCGGCGGCTACGAGTGTCTGGGACGAGTGGGACCCACCGTGCGGATGACATATGAGAAAGGTAGTGGCGGTTTAATGAACAGGGTGGCGACCTGTTTCTTTCCAGAAGTGAGTGTTCACTTGCAGTCCTTCACGAAAAGGCGTCGGCCTGTAGGTTATAAGGAACAATGCGATTCGTTTGGTGGTAATACTCGTTTTTTTCAAATTTTGTGCTTTGGATTTCGTTTATCAGAATGTTGTTTTGCCAAATTTGTAATGCGTACCCGCATGCTCTCGAAGTGATGCATTTGGCTATTTGCATTGATCGTGTTCAGTGGCACTAACGAGGTAATCACACATTGTCGTGTGGTTGTTTTGCAGTGGCCGCGCATCTTCCGTATCGATTATGGCCATACCGAATCGGAAGCCACATTCGGCAAGGACCCCAGAACATACGAGGTAACATCACCAACAGCAGAGGACGCTGTATGTTCCCCATCCAGGCGCGATTTCAGAGTGCATGCGGTGAAGCTGAATGAAATTGGAAGAAGCTATTTCAAAATTCAACGTTAATATATGTGATTCAAAGTTAATATATGTGATCAAGTTCTCTTGTCCATGTCATCACGAGTGAGAGATTGGATGGCATTACTGTCTGCTGACTGGCAGTTGCTTTTGGATTGCAACTCTTCTTTTATCTGTCCTTGGGAATCTGTTTGCCTGTTGCATGCACAGCCTTATCCGTGGGAATCTGTTTGCCTGTTGCATGCACAACCTTATCCGTGGGAATCTGTTTGCCTTTTGCGTACACAGCCTTATCCGTGGGAATATGTTTGCCTGTTGCGTGCAGCCTTCCTTTGGGTGCTTGGTCATTGTCCGACTCCCTTTCTCTCCCCTTTTAAAGGCAGCCTGATTTTTTGAGTGAAGGTCAGACAGAGCAGCTGACAAGTTGATCGCAAAGCATCCGGCTATTGACTTTGTGTTGACGCACATGTCATGTAGTCGCCTGCCATGGCAAAAAAAAAACCGGAAAAAAGAAACTCTGTTATGCTGCTTATGCAGTAGAGTAAAGTGAACAACTTTTGACTCAGGGTCACATCGAAATTCTTTACCAGATGAAAAATGAAAAATAGTTTGTTTGTTTTTTTTTTCAACTCTTTTTTCGCCCGGACCACTCTGGTAACCTAGGTTACGATTGCGAAAGAAAAAAGAACAAAAAAAAAGACGAGAGCACAGAAAGTTTGGCACTTATTTCAGCAAGCGAAGGGAGTGGCGGCTAGGAACAAGGATCATGTCGATTTTCTGCCTTGCAGTTTTTGATTCCAGCAAAATTGATCAAAAATGTTATGGACCGTTCCTGGGTATGTGCCGAACAAGGATGCCGTTGATTGTGGGAGATTATGCCTGCATGCGACTCAGCTGAAGGTGGTGTTCTTTTGGGAAAGTGATGCATGTTAGGGTTTAGGGTTTGGGGTGGCTAAGCTAGACGGATGTTGTTTTGGCTGCAGGTAATGACCAAGAGATTCTTTGGAAATGATAGGGGAGAGGTGACAGGTCTGGAAATTGTTAAGGTGCAGTGGACCAAGGACGCTTCCGGGCGATGGAAAATGGAGCAGTTGGCAGGATCGGAGCAGATACTGGAAGCAGACCTGGTTCTCTTGGCCATGGGTTTCCTCGGCCCGGAGCAGGTGAGCAACACTTAGCACCTACCTGCGCACCAGTCGACTTTCTTGTTTTGATGTCTGCTGTAGTTTAAAGTTGAAACTAGAACCGATAACCACAGCTGCAGCTGTCGACTTGACGAGGTTCATGAAGGGTGCGGGCATGTCTACTTTGTAGATTGCAATTAAGGTCTGTAATAGTTTGGGAGTTTTTTTATTAAGGGTGCTGCCACCAGTCAAGCTTTTTAAGTATGTTGCAATTGAGGTCTGAATAGTTTGGAGTTTTCACACCGCGTATTGTGCGATCCTGGGAAGATACACGATGTGATGTAATTGCGCTCAACTTCTGTTTTATTTAGATCAGTGGAAAGTGTTTGTGATCACAAAGCGGTGGCGGTCTGCTGACTGGTGACTCAGTGTCGAGTGAGAATAGTCATATGGTCACGCCCTGGTCTGTAAACTGTTTGAAATGTATAAACCTCTCTGTTGCAGTGTTTAGGACTTAAAGAGCTTGAGTGGTGATTAAAAAGACATTTGATCATTGAGGGTGAATGAATGGCAAGCCATGGAAGGGAGGAGGTCTCTCCGCGCTCTGTTGCGGTTGAGTGGTTATGTGTCAGTATGGCATTCCATCGTCTATTTGGATATCTGACAGCTTTTGAGGCAATGTAATTTAGACTGCACGGAAGATGATATTAAAGTAGCAGAATATATGTGCTGACGAAGTTTTACTACTGGGTGTATGTGATTGCGTTGTGGATTTTTTTTGTTTTTTTTTTAATGGCAATTTTGTTCGTACAGTATGTTGCACAGGAGCTTGGTGTGACCACAGATCCAAGGAGTAACTTCAAGGCAGAGTACGGACGATTCGCAACAAATGTGGACGGTGTCTTTGCGGCGGGTGACTGCAGAAGAGGCCAGTCACTGGTGGTGTGGGCCATAACTGAGGGAAGGAGAGCAGCCGCACAGGCTGACAAGTACTTGGCAAGGAAGGCAGCTGATGTTGCGGCTAGCCAAGGTTCTCTATCGGCTCTGAGAATGGGGATGGTAAGCAATGGCAGCACCGTTGGAGTCACTGCTTAGGACTGTCCGATTGATTTCGCCGCAAGGGTGGTTTGATTCCGTTCTATTCAACACCGTGTGCACGGGAGAAGTGGAGCTTATGGTGACAATGCTGGGTTGGTACCAGGAACGTATAACATGTTGTGCTTTTCGGTGTTTCACGTCATTGTACCCAAGAAGAAGCATTACACCCTCGCATTTGCACGCGCACGCGCGCGCTCGAGAGAGAGAGAGAGAGGTCTGAGGTTGCGGTTAGCCAAGGTTCTCTACCGGCTCTGAGAATGGGAATCGTACACAATGGCGGCACCATTGGAGTCACTGCTTAGGACTGTCCGATTGATTTGCCGCAAGGGTGGTTTGATTCCGTTCTATTCAACACGTTTGTACGGGAAAAGTCCACAGACAGGCAACATTTTGTGCTTCTCAGTGTTTCATGACATTGCGCCCAAGAAGAAGCATTGCACCCGTGCGTGTGTGCAAGAGCAAGAGAGAGAGAGAGAGAGAGAGGTTTTTTCCGATGGGCGTAACTTGAGAGAGAGAGAGAGAGAGAGAGAGAGAGAGAGAGAGAGAGAGATGTCTTTTCCGATGTGTGTGTGTGTGGTAGAGAGAGAGAGAGAGAGAGAGAGAGAGAGAGAGAGAGAGAGAGAGAGAGAGAGAGAGAGAGAGAGAACTTTGGCAAAAATATGTATTAATAGTAAGTATTGTAGCAAGTTTTGGACGTCAGACATGATAGAAAAGATAGCAAGTTTTGGACGTCAGACATGATAGAAAAGGTGTGGAGAGAATTTATTGCATTGCAAAAGTGGTGGTTGTTGAAGAGGAGAGTCAGTGTCCCTCTATGGTTTCCCGTGGTGCTTGTTGAAGATGACAATTGATGTCATTTGCTGGTGGTGTGTTTTCTCGGCGGGGACAAGCAAGGGTGTCGTCCTAGACGTAGAGGAGGAAGGGAGGGTGGTCGCACCTGGTGTTCTGAAATGGCACCATTGCGGTGGTGTCATGATACACTCGTAACGCTGCGGCGCTATAGTGTGGCCTCACAAGCTTTCTCGCCTTCTTGTTCTGATGGCGGTGGCATGGTCATGAGTTCTGTCTTTTGTCTTTATCTTTCTCTGAAAGGTCTCGCTTGATGTTGGAACAGCACTGGGGAAAGAGAAGGTGAGCCCATCAGTGGCTTGTAGCAGTTTGTAGTTCTGCTTTGATATAGGAGCAGATGGCGCTATAGGTTGGCGTGTAGCAGTTTGTAGCTCTGCTTTGATATAGGAGCAGATGGCGCTATGGAGAAGGTGAGCCCAGGCAATTCGGCGACAATCGTTTTCAATTTTTCAAATCTGTCGACCCTCTGGAATTATTAGGTTGTAGCTAGAGATTAGAACATGTCGTCAAGAGTGAGAGATATTGTTTCCTGGAATTGGTGCCGTGTTTTGGTGAGCGCTCTGAAAATAGAACACTGTCTCAAGTTGAGAGCAGGAGGAATTAAAGGGCTTTTTTATAACGAGGTTTCATGGCAGGTTTATGGGAAAGGTTATGTGATTGTGATTTAAGGTAGCAGTTTTTCCTGCAATCCGTTCCCATAGCCAATGGCTGTGTCTCGAGCTCATGCTGGTGAGATGGGGGGAGGGGGGAAAGGGGTTGTCCAATCCTACCATTTTTCTCCATATGAATTATGTGCTTATTTCTATGAAAGAGAGCATGAAGCAGTACTTTTTTTCTTTACCTCTTTGTGCAGTCGCAGAGGAAGTGATGAGCACTGTGTTGTGTGTGTGTGTGTGTGTGCGCGTGTGTGTCTCAAGTTTTTAATGTGTGTGTGTGTGTGTGTGTGTGTGTGTGTGTGTGTGTGTGTGTGTGTGTGAACTAGTCACTTGAACATATGCCAGGGCTGTGACAAACTGTTGTTGGAGTTTCACCGACTTACTAGGAAGCTGAACCCTGAACAGTCTGCAGAATCCCTAACTGATTACGCATAATCCACCTTAACCCCGGTTGTGGTTAATATATGAATACGTATTGCCAAACAGAAGTGTCCACTAAACCGTAGGCAGAGAGGGAGAAGAGAACAACAAACAAGGTCACCGTGCTGTGACAAACTGTTTCGTCGGAGTTACTGTTTCGTCGGAGTTTCATTGACGCATATATATACATCTCTCTCTCTCTCTCTCTCTAGCCCCTCGTTTGTTGTCCTCTTCTCCCTCTCTGCCTACGGTCTACGGGGCAGCTCTGTTTGACTATATATGGGGGCAGCTTTTCTTGTTTTTTTAATGTTTTTCTTCGCTTTTGCGCTCTGATATCTTGTGACTATATATATATATATATACACAGCCCCTCGTTTGTTGTCCTCTTCTCTCTCTCTGCCTACGGTTTACCGGGCAGTTCTGTTTGTGACGATATATATATATA